AGGAGTTGCAAGCTGAAGTATGCAGGGGTGAAGTTTCACATATCTCCAACTTGCTTTCAAATGGCTCAGAAATATAAAAGCATCTATACTTAGGAAGATAAGGCAAATGTGACAAAGTGATAACTGGTAATTTGGGATTATAGGTAGAGTATAAGGAAGTTGCTGAACTACTCTCAACTTTTCTGTAGACTTAATTAAAAAAATTTTTTTAAATTTGGTTTCTCCAAATTATTCTCTAATCACAATTCTCCGTTCAGTTCCTCTCATCAGTCCTTTTTTTTTTGCTCTTTTATTGAATCTCCCACTAGAAATATAAGCATTGTGTCTGGTTCACTGTTGTATCCTAATGCTTAGCTCTGGACTGGCTACATGAAAGCCATTCAGTACACTGAAATTAAAAAAGTTAACTGAAAATGGGCAAAGGATATGAACAGATACTTCACCAAAGAAGGCATTCAGGCAGCTAACAGACACATGAGGAAGTGATCGCAATTACTAGCCGTTAAGAGAAATGCACATCAAAACTACAATGAGATGCCATCTTACCCCGACATTACTGGCACGAATTAAAAAAAACAGAAAATAACAAATGTTGGAGAGGTTGCAGGGAGATTGGAACTCTTATGCACTGCTGGTGAGAATGCAAAATGGTAAGACCATTTTGGAAAACAATATGGTACCTCCTTGAAAAACTAGAAATAGAAATACTATATGATCTAGCAATCCCAAAACTCCTAGGAATATATCCTAGAGAAATAAGATCCATCACATGAATAGACATATGCACACCCATGTTCATTGAAGCATTATTCACAATAGCAAAAAAATGGAAACAACCTAAGTGCCCATTAACAGATGAATGGATAAACAAACTATGGTTTAAACACAAAATGGAATACTATGCAATGATAAAGAACAATGATGAATCTGTGAAACGTCTCACAATATAGATGAATCTGGGGGGCATTATGCTGAGTGAAATAAGTCAATCACAAAAGGACAAATATTGTATGAGACCACTATTATAAAAACTCATGGAAAAGTTTACACACAAAAAGAAACAATCTTTGATAGTTACAAGGGAGCAGAGGGGTAAAGTGGGGAGAGAAAAACATTAAGTAGACAACAGGTAAGTGGTAACTATGGTGAAGGGTAAGATTGTACACAATATTGGGGAAGCCAGCACCACTTAACCAAATCAAGGTCATGGAAGCTCCATAGACACATGCAAACTCCCTGAGAGACTGAAATACTGGGCTGAGCGCTGGTTTCAGGAAATATCTAGCTCAACTGGCATAACATAATTTATAAAGAAAATGTTCTACATCACTTTGGTGAGAAATGTCTGGGGTCTTAAAAGCTCGGGAGCTGCCATCTAAGATACTCCACTGGTCTCACCCCATCTGGAGCAAGAGAGAATGAAGAAAACCAAAGACACAAGGGAATGATGAGTCCAAAAGACTAATGGACCACAAGTACCACAGCCTCCACCAGACTGAATGCAGCACAACTAGATGGTGCCTGGCTACCACAGAAGAGGGTCCCAGACAGAGCTGGAGAAAAATGTAGAACAAAATTCTAACTCACCACAAAAAAAATAAAAAATAAAAAGACCAGACTTACTAGTCTGACAGAGACTGGAGAAACTCCCAGACTATGGCCCCTGGACTCCCTTTTAAATTAGTACTGAAGTCACTCCTGAGGTTCACCCTTTGGCCAAAGATTAGACAGGCCCATAAAACAAAATGAGACTAAATGGGCTCATCAGTCCAGGGACAATGATGAGAGACAGGAAAGCTGGTAACGAGGAACCCAAGGTCGAAAAGGGGAAAGTGTTGACATGTCGTGGGGGTGGCAACCAATGTCACAAAACAATATGTGTATTAATTGTTTAATGAGAAACTAATTTGCTCTGTAAACCCTCATCTAAAATACAATAAAAAAAAAGTAAATTGAAAGTTATCCCCTTTGCTATTAAAAAAAGAAAAAAAATTAGTCTCCCCCCACCCCCCGCCCTGCCTTCTGCTTTATGGAATAGAATTTTTGAAAACCAGAAGCAGAAAGGCAAGACAGAGCTATTGGAAATCTTCCAACCTTCCTTCTCTCACACTGAGTGAGTAATGAAAACTACAAGAAGCCAAGGAAAGGTGGAAGTGGGTGGTGTGGTGGTGCTGTTTTAATTCCTCACTGCTGGGATGAATAGATGCTCAGCAGCCTAGGTAGGCTCTGGTTCCAAGATAGGATTCAAACTGAGCAAATCAATATCTGAAAAAGAAGATCAGCCGTAGATGAACTTCACTGATAATTAATTCATACACAAAATGAGAAAAAATACTGTATTAAATCTCATATTTAATTTCCCTTGCTCCCTGTATTAGGTATTCATGTTACCATTTAGCTGTTGTCAAAGAAGTGAGGTTTTGTAAAAACCAAAAGGATATGTACTGTCATTGAATAGGATCTCAGATATAAAAGATTAACACACACACACACACACACACACACACACACACACAAAATATGGCACCTATATCCACCTAGTTGTGGCATATCCTAATTGCAGTTTCAGCTCTTTTGAATGCTTTGACCTATTAATGACCAAATTGTTAAACTCCATAAAATGTTCAGAGTAAGATCACCATACATAAGTACAACGAATACTTATGATTTGATGAAACAGACTCATGGCACATAGAGGCCACGGTTTATTTTCAAAATTCTTATCTGAAATAAATAATACATGTATTTCTTTACTTATATCTACTTTTGCCAAATAAAATTTTTAACAAAGATAATAAGTAATAAAGACAACAGAAGTTTATTTTATGCTTATTGTATTCTGGAACTTTCTTTGAACGTAGCTTTATAGGTAATCAATGTTAGAATTGCCTAAAATCTAAAAGACATACTTTTTGGTTTTGGGTCACTAGGTGAAAAATATTTAATCTTGCTGTATTCATCTGTGACGTAACACTTTTCAATGGAGACAGTAAAAAATAGTAATTATTTTAGCATGAACTACATCCAATATACATTACTAACAGATTATTTTAAAATATAAATTAAAAAACAGGCCAAATTGACAGAGCCCAAATTTAAGAATACTTCTGTAATATTACGTTTTAAAACCATTAGTGCTATGGTAGTAGCTTCACGTATGAGGGTGTAGGCTCTGGCATCAGAAGTAGATTGAGATCCACCCCTTAATAGGTGTGTACCTTGAATGTCTGTGCACTGTTAGGCCTATTCCCTCAGGGTTGTGAGGATTAAATGAGATAATGCATGTAATCTTTATAGGTTATTAACTGGCACATCTGGAGCCCTGTGGCACAGTGGTTAAAGTGCTCAGCTGCTAACCAAAAGGTCAGCAGCTCAAACCCACCAGCTGCTCTGCGGTAGAAAGATGTGGCAGTCTGCTTCCATCAAGATTTCACCTTGGAAACCCTATAGGGCAGTTCTACTCTGTCCTATAGAGTCACTCTGAGTTGGAATTGACTTGATGGCAATAGGTTTGGTTTTGGGATTTTATCTGGCACATTGAAAGTAATCGACAAATATTTTGATGATGAATGATGATGAAGATGGGAAAGAGTATGAGATGTGAAGTAAAGTGCTTTGAGAACTTGCAGTGGAGAGAAACATATGAAAGTCTCTTTCCAGGATTTACGATGGTCTTCTGGGAAGCACAATGAGTGGAAAGAACTCTCCCCTGTGAGGCAGGCTGATCCCAGGATTGCTGCTGGTTAACCATGTGGCCTGGACTGTTGACCTCATCTCTCCTGGCACCAGTTCACACATCTGTTCAATGAGGAGGCAGGATGATCTTCCAGCTCCAACCTTTTATTTCCTCTTTCTGTCTACGGTAGGATCCCATTAGGGAAGAGAGCTGGTGGAACATTCAATACTAACTGAGAATTAGAGTTACAGTATTTAGCTGATCTTTTGGTTTATTTCATTTTTTAAAAGAAAGAGCCCATTCACATTCAGCTTTCAGTGAAAGAAATTAACACTGCCATGCCCTCCTTTTCCAAGGAAACACCATACAGAAGCAGCTGCCTTCTCATTCCTCCTGAGGGCATGCCTTGTGAATTAAACACCAACATAACTGGTACTTTAGTTAGTCTTTAATATATCTCCAACTCGTAAGCGCTAAACAAAAATGTAAGTAAAAAACATCAGACAATGTCCTCTATCAGTAGTTCTAAACAATCACAGTGGTCACACAGTTGGAACTGAGGTCACTCGCATTTTAAGGAGACACAACTCACCCGAGATCAGTGGAATTCAGGCTCTGCAGTAGGAAGGCAAAGTTGAGGCTTATTTTGTGCAAAGGGTATTTACTTTACCCAAAAGCAGCTTTCTTCTTTCACTCTTCACTTTTTTTTTAACTGTTCACTTTCCTCCTATATGAAAAATGCTATTAAGAACTGAAGGGGCCTTTCCTTACTGAAATAAAATGAACCATACAGTTGTCCCTCGCTGTCTGTGGAGGATTGGTTCCAGGACCCCCTGCAGATACAAAAATCTGGGAATGCTTAAGTCCCTTATATAAAATGGCATTAAAAAATAAAAAAACCTATTGCTGTGGAGTTGATTCTGACTCATAGGGACACTACAGAGTAGAACTGCCCCATAGAGTTTCTAAGGAGCACCTAGTGGATTCGAACTGCTGATCTTTTGCTTAGCAGCCATAGCTCTTAAACATTACACCACCAAGGTTTCCACAATAAAATGGCATAGTACTTACATATAACCTATGCACATCTTCACACACCCTCCCATATACTTTAAATCATCTCTAGATTACTTACAATACCTAATACAATGTAAATTCTATGTAAAATAGTTTTTATACTGTATTATTGAGGGAACAATGACAAGAAAAAAAGAGTCTGGTTTTCTTTTTTCTGAATATTTTCGATCTGCATTTGGTTGAATCCCCAGATGTGGAAAGTGCAGATACTGAGGGCCGGCTGTGCATGCCATATATTTCTTGGTGAATTTTCTGGGTAGATTCCCTCAGAATTAGCAATTCATAGAAAATTGTTAAGAGAAGTTGTCCCATTTGCATACCAAGTACAATTTAGAGTTCACAATACAAGGCTCTGTGGTATAAAGTGCCTATGAGTAGCTTCCCATCATATATGGAGGCCACGGAGCTTCCCTGAAGAACAGATCCGTTGTTGGCATAAACCGTAGTCACCGTAGGCTTCTCAGTTAGAATATTCTGGATGCGGAGAATCTGTTCAGGAGATACAAAGGATTAGGATAGAAACACCATACATATGCCCATGTCACTCAATCATCAATAATCCCTGTCTTCCACAATGACACAATGATTAAGAGGACTTGCTGTTGAAAACAGCAGTTACCAATGTTTTTAATGTTTAAACTGAAGTTCTTTCTCAAATCTTGACAGAAAGTACTTTCTTAAACCATCTAGTTATCCCATGACAATACAGGATTTAGTGTTATTATAGTTATTCAGCATTAATAAATATATCTCCACAATAATGTATGTACTTTCATGCTACTTTAATATTAACAAAAATCATGTCATGTGGTGAGCTAACAATAAGCCAGGTATTTAAAAAATTGCCAGCATACCACACAAGAAGGACACTTGTCTTTATAAAAATGCTTTTTGACTAGTTTCCGCCATAATTTAATATATCAAAAGATTTACCTTTGTTAACGAATGTGAACAACGTTAAAATCTGCCAATTATTGGCTTAAAGTAATTACAAAACCACTACATAAAGGTTTATTGTGTTCTTGGTTCAAAAGGGCTAAACAAACCACCCTGTGACAGTGTACTGTATTATTAGTTCAAAAGGACTTATATAATTAAGGTTGAAAAGTTAAAAATATAAAAACCTCTGATGAAGGAGGATTGTTTGGATCATACACAAAGAGCTTCTGGCCATTAGGATGACAGCCTACCCAGATGTCCCCCGAAGAAGGATCAATAGATAAATTGTCCACCAGTGTGTCCAACTTGAGTACCTTCCAAATGAAAAAAATATCAATATCTAAATGACAACATGGGAGACCGGATTAAATAATTTAGGGCTAACCTTTGCTGCCTCTATGTATGTGGGGAAATTACACACATCTCTTTGCTTCCACTTTTCTGGCACCAATATTGCTTAAAATAAAATTAATAAGCTGGTTTAGAACTACTTTTCATCTTCCCTGAAATGAAGGAAGTTAGGGTGATAATCTATCTAAACATCTCGCTTAAAAAATGAACTCCTTCTCCCTTAAAAGATGCACAATGATCACTTAGCTTGAGGAACTCAATCAAAGCAAGATAGGAAATTCATAATCAACCTAAAATATGTGTTGTCGAGCCGGAAGAAAATAATAACGGTGTGAAACTCAATTTCTACCTCATTTATTACTGAAAGAACTGGCAACGTGCATTAAGTCTTCATTTGAGAATTCATCTATAAGTCTTTTCAATCGTGGAAATTCTTATTGGAATTTAACTCTTGCCAGCAGTACTTTGTGGAATGGGCCCTAAATCTGATGCAAATATTACTCCCAACCCACTGCTACATGTAATCATGGTCATGGTTGGGAACAGGAGACTTTTCTAGTTGGAGGAAGATAATGTTAAAAAACAACAAACAAACAAACAAAAAAACAACAAAAAACCCAGAATAGTAACACCTGGCATTCACATTCTGTTCTAAGTGAGGTAATGATAAAATGTATTATAGCCATATAATTTCAAAGTACAATAGATTAAAATCTGCATTGCATAAATAAAAATAAACATTTTACCTTCGACTGAGTTAAATTCATATTAGTGTGTTTTTCCAAAACATGAATTTCATGAGCCAACATATCAGCAACATAGATGTACCTTTGCAGAAAAGACACATTGGTTAGAGACCCATGCCAATATAAAGCTTCAATAATTCAGTATGTAAGAATAAGTCTTAACAACCTGCCAAGAAGTTAACCAATCATGGGCCCTCAAGGAATGCTTGATAAAGGTCAATTTTTATTTAAAAGGTAAGCTTTCAAAATCAACTCAGTGTTGCGACAATAGTCATGAAACCGTTAAATTATTTTCCAAAGGGTTTGTAAAGAATAATAATACGACATTATTTTGAATATAAAGTTCATAACGTGTGCCACTGAAAGGGCAATGAAACAAATACGTTTTGGCTTCAAAAAAAAAAAAAGCTTCTACATTCCACACTGTAATTTGCTATTTCTAGGTATCATTTACATGTAAATATATATGTTGCATGTATAGTTTAGTAAACTATTCATATACTGAGATTTTTAAGAGTAAGAGATAAGCATCTATTTAGAACACTCTGTCTACATCTAGGAGGGGATGAATTAATGGACTACTGTATTTTATGCAAATAACGCATGCCTTCTACATTTGTTTGCCAACTGTACCCTCCTCTGCGAGGTATTTTCGTAAACGTGCTATGCTAATTTTTTTTTTTTTTTTTTACTGCATAGCGGCACTTAGGAAAATACTTCATGGGGAGAAGGAGCAGTTGGCAAACAAATGTAGAAGGTGTGTGTTATCTGCATAAATATGCGGTATTTTAAGGTAATTTTACTTATTGAATCGATTGTTTCATAAGCATCTATTGAGCAACTACCATGTGTAAAACTGTGAACTCAATGTTGTGGAATATAAAAACATGAGCAAGACACAGTTCTCTGTCCTCAAAAGTTTTATGGTGTGTTGGGAAGATCAGACTGATTTGTACACATTAAATACCTCATACAGCATGATTGGTACTATAAGAAGTATTTAAAGTCAAGAAACTGGAGCAATATCTAGGTCTTGAGAGCATAGAAGGGCTCACAAAAGAGATAGCAGTTGCACTGAATATAGAGACAGACTGGCTTTGAACAGAAGGTTATCAGGATGAAGCAGCTTTTAGGCAGAAGAAAACACATGCACAAAGGCACAGAGGCAAGAACAAGGGAGGCATGTTTGTATAACAATAAGTTCTTCGTCTGGAGAACGGAAGGTACGGGAACAGTAGAAAAGGGAGGTTGGAGTTAGCCTGTTAAAAAGTCCAACTCTTTAGCCTGCCTTAATCTGAGTAGCCACTGGAGTCCACTGAATTTTTAGAATAAAGAAGCTGCATCATAACAAATGGTCAGTTCTGTCCCATAATTATTGGGCATTTGCTCTGTGCCTGGCACTGTGCTCAGTATGAGGGGCCAAAAATGAAGATGACAGAGCACCCTCTTGTAAAGCCCTTAAAAGGCAGTGGAATATAAAAAGACAAAACTGGCAATGCTGCAAAAAATGCAAGTGGACAGAAAACAACCTGGAAGAAAGTTTAATACTCTAGCCACAGAGAATGCAAATCTAAACCAAGCAGGTGTCAATGGGAAAGGAAAGAAGGATGAGAGCAGGAGAAGGAGGCACAGGTAGAATCAACAGGACTTGCTCACTGGCTGGATATGGATATGAAAGAGAAGAAGGAGTCAAAGGTGAGCCCGCACCCCTATATTTATTATTATTATTTTTAGCTCGGGTGACTGGAAAGTTTGATTCTCATACAGAAGTTTGAGAACTAGGGAGAAGAACAGGTTTGGCTGGAGAGGCTGGACTAGTTCAGTTAGAGACTATTCCCACATAGGGAAATTTAGTTGTCAGGGACTGTCAAACTTATTTTGTTATCTTTTTAGCAGTTTAAATTGTTCTAGGCAGTAAGGTAGTAGAAGAGAAAGCTAGTAAAGAATTTAATATCCTTTCTTATATGCATATAAAAGTAGTGAGATAATTTTGGAGGGCAATTTGGCAATATCTATTAAAGTTAACACTTAAAGGGTTCATATAGTTTGAGCAAGTAGTTTGGGGGCTGTTCTACAGAAATACTTGCACAAAAGTGCAAAGAAGTTGGGCACCTAATACCACATTTAGCTAGTGTCCTAGCTGGGATTTAAACTCATGTCTGTATGACTCGAAAATCTACAGACTTAACCGTTATGCTGTAATGCTCCCTAAGGGATTTCATCCTAAACAGATAGTTGGATAAGTTTCAGCACTAAATAAGAACTATACAATGGTTTGGGAAAAAAAAAATGTAAATAAGCTGCATATCCATTAACAAGAAATTGGTTAAATTAAGGATTATCCTTACAGGACAATAATATGCAGCCAATAAAAATGATGACATATTTATTTAAAAGGAAAGACCTATCATATTTTTTAATATGTATATATAAATATTACACCATTATATAAAAATTTACATTTATAAAATTATACAATGATATGTCCCAAAATTTAACTGGTATTTGTATCCATGTTGCTGCTTTATGTCATTATATGATTCCACAGTCTCTATATTCATTTTACAATAAGCATATATTATTTTTATAAGAAAAATGTTGGACTTCTGGCAAAATGGCGCTCTAGGCAGAAGCACCACGCTGTCCCTCCACAGCAAAGATCCGAAAAACTAAGCCAAACAGAGAAAACAAAAATCCCGAAACCCTAAAACATCAAATGAAGAGATAAAGAACTCAGCCAAGCACCAAATGGAGTGAGAAAACTGACAGAGAACAGAGAGCGAGGAGATTCATGTAGAGGTCCCCTATCAGCTAACGCAGCATGGATCCACCATCTTGGACTCCTATCGGAGACCAGCAAACAGGGGGTATGAGAAAGCAGCTTCACAGAGCTTCCAGTGGGAGACAAAACAACCAGTAATTTGCGATATACGCTTTCCCACCCCCTACACTTCTTCACCCACACTCAGCTTCCTCTGCTTTCCGCGGACATAGTCTCTTGTCCGGGAAGCACCGGTTGCTTGGATTCCACCAGCCCGCACTAGCTGGCTCTCTGAGTGCCATTTGTTGGCTGCTGGTGTTGCTTTTTTTCCACTTCTTTTGATATCTTCCTTACCTCTCATCACCTCCCCCTCCTTTCGCTCAAATACCTGGCTCTGTGT